GKKGGAAGGTGTCTTTAACACATTAAAAAGCATGAAARATCAGTATTTCAGTGAAAGAGACCCACAAAATTAAGCTTTTACAAAGGAAAAAAGCCATAGCTCATTTTTTTGTCCATCCTGAGACAGAAGAATTRTCTGACAGGACAGTCAGGACAAGATTGGACTAGGAGGAAGATGATAATGGAAAATATGACATGAAAATTTACAGTACTACAAGTTCATTGATGGTTGCTACCACAGAACAATTCATTTACCTTATTCATTATATTCTTATAACAAATCTTGCAGGTCATTGAAAAGCTGAGTTCCTACAGCCAGTGCCTGCTGTCCAGCCCCCTCATAATGCTCAAGACGTGGTCCAAGTAAGTTGTTAAAAACAAACCCCAGGTCGTTGTCTCCACCAAACACTTTTCCTTTCTAAATTAAAAAAAAAAATTCAATGCTGGGAAGGATGTTGTAGATAAGTGACCTTGGCTGTAACTGCAGGGTGAGGAAAATGCTTTAGCACTTCACTAAACTGTGCTAATGAAYGTTGTTTTATTGCACCATTTCACTGATTCAGACTCCAGCCCAGGACAGAAGCCCTCCTGCAGGCTCTGGTTAAAGAAAATTGTGATAATCGTGACGCTTTGCTGGCTGCATGGAGGAAAAATCCYAAATGTAAGTGTTCTGCTTGCCTAATTATCAGTCTTATCAGTGGAGTACCTCGAGAGCTATTGAATTATAATTTTAAAAATGGACTATTTCACTTGTTAAGCTCCAAATATTTCCCATTTTCTTACCAGAAGCCCTTGTGACAAGGGCACATTCTTGTGTCACAAGAACCAGCGTTAAGTGAAAAATGACAGAAAGCACTTCAGAAAGCAACATTAATTTGTACTTTAAGATTATTTTTTCTGCAGTTCTAACTACAGTTAAAATGTATTAGASTGTGGTGGTACTGTCCATGGATATGGGAATTTTTTTTTTTGCAGGTAAAATGGATTTTGTTCAATAGTTGGTACCAGATTATAGGAATTTCTTTATAGAAGCAGCAGCCAAGTGCTGCGGTTCTGGCTCACAGGAATTCCTGTGGATGCTGTTCCAAGCTCCAGCACCATCCCAGCAGTGAAAGGCTGTGGGGTGATCCCACAGGAGCTCTTTTTTCAAGCCAAACTGTGTGATTGTTCCATTTCCCTTGCAGATCTGCTCTCAGCCTATCGCCAGTGGGTCCCCGAGGCCATGCACCAGGACCTGGCCCTGAATTGGCCACCAGTAGCCGTGTGACCCTTGGTGTGGATGGAYTCCTGTTCTCCCAGATGTTTGGAGCTTTCCAAGGGTTTCCTTGGAAGTCTAAAACAGCTGAACTCACCAGCTGTAACCATACCTTTTTGTAAGCAAACCAGGTGTTGTCCTGCCACCTGTTTGGCTGGTATTTCATAATATTAATATTTGGATAATTTTATCCATTGTATTTTACAGATTTTTTTTTTTTTTTTACCTGAAGTTTGTCTTTGGACTATATTAGTCGTATGAACTGTAATAAATATGTAAAGTTCTTGGTCTGGATGGGAGAAATGTTTGCTGTGTGGGATGCAATGAGTAGAATTTCAGAATTTCAAAACCCAGACTTGTGCAGACACTTCCTCACGTGTGGCAGCAGGTTCAGATGCAGACAGAACCTTTGCTGGTGGGCTGGGGCAGCAGGTCAGGACAGGAAGCACAAGAGTGAGGAAACTTGTGGGTTGAGATGGGAATGGTTTAATTAGTGAAGGGAAGAAGCTTGAGTTTATGTTCCCTTTCACCTGATCTTTCTGAGTCTTGGTAAACTCTCTGTGCTCATGGGCTGCTGCCTGTGMCACTGCTGCAGGAGAAGGYGCAGACAGGGACYCTYCTGTYCCCRTGTTGTGAAGGAAATTGGAGCAGCCCAACCACAGAACAGGCTGGATGTGTGTCCATTATCCCACTGCTCCCATGTGCTTCAGGAGCAAGACCAGGACACCAGAAAAAAAATTTAAAATAGATTAAAAATATATTAATTTGATGAAACAGCAACTTCAGATTTCGAGCCAGAAGGAAAGAAGCTGCTTGCTCTGTGTGTGTCAGTGCAATGCCACAGCCCTGCAGTTTTTGGGGAGATCCCAGGCASGAGGGTGCTGGGGGCTCCTGGCAGGGCCCCTTTCTTTTACAGCAATTGCAGCCAAACTCTGCAAAGTGCTGATGGGAAGGAAGAAAACAGGCACTTTATGAATGGATTAGGGAATTGTGGCTCCTCGAGAAAATGGAGCAAAAGGAATTACCGGCTTCGCGGCGCAGGGGCAAAGGAAAAAAAAAAAAAAAAAAGTGGAGATGCCGGGGATTGAACCCGGGGCCTCATACATGCAAAGCATGCGCTCTACCACTGAGCTACATCCCCTTGTTGGAAATTGCTAACCCCACAGCCAATACACTGATGGTATGAGCCTCAGGCCGGCTCCGGYGGTGACACTRYGGTGACATCGCGGTCACCCCGCAYCTCCTCCGGCCCGGACAGCCCCSCGCTGGGTCCYGGTGGCGGCAGCGCCCAAAGGAGCGGAGCGGAACGGGGACAGCGGCACCGGGGGCGGGACCGCAGCCTCGTAGTGCAAGGCGAGAGAATACCGTCTGTGCCCGTCCTCGTTAGTATAGTGGTGAGTATCCCCGCCTGTCACGCGGGAGACCGGGGTTCGATTCCCCGACGGGGAGGACCAATAACTTTTGTCACCGCTTACCATTTTTTTTGTGGACGACCCATGCAGGGTTTTGTCTGTGACGCGGCTGTGGAACCCCGAGCCAGARCGGCGGCGCAAGGCCGGAGAAGCCGCGTTTTGTGCCGGGGAGGGGATCTGGCCTGCCGCTATCCCTGGTGTGCGTGCGGAGCGCCCCGCTGGAGTGGAAGGAAGGGTTGGGCTGCTCCAATTTCCTTCACAACACGGGGACAGAAGGGTCCCTGTCTGCACCTTTTCCTGCACCTTCACACTGAGGAAAGTGTGAAGCCCTGGACGCCCCAAGAATCGCGCACCGGGACCCGCGGGGGAGGGCGAGCAGCGGCACACAGGGGCGCGGGGCGGGGTCGTATCCACGGCCAGCGAGGGCGCTCTCACCCGCCGAAATAGCTCAGTTGGGAGAGCGTTAGACTGAAGATCTAAAGGTCCCTGGTTCGATCCCGGGTTTCGGCAGAAAGGGTTTCTCTTTTTGTTTTTTTCCGTTTACCGTCAGGATGGTTTCTTTTTGTCACCGAGCGGAGAAGGCGGGGCCGCTGTCCATGAGCCGGTGTCAACGCAAGCGCCCGCGCGTGTGGGAGTTTTGTACCAGGAACCGCTTCCCGAAAGATGGTGGCGATGGAACGAGTCCGGCGGCGCCCCTTCGGGCATGACCTAGCCCGCGAAGGAGCGATGCCAAGCCGTCCTCGTTAGTATAGTGGTGAGTATCCCCGCCTGTCACGCGGGAGACCGGGGTTCGATTCCCCGACGGGGAGGTTACYKAYCTTTTTGGTTTWTTTTYTTAAATTTTTTTCTCCCCGCACGGATTTCTCCGATTTGCGACGGATCAAGAACATTCCGTTTTGTGTGTGCGTGAACCAGCGCGTTCCTGTYTTCCTAAGGGCTGCCTGAAGCTCCCACCAGGCTCTGTACCGTGCAGAGTACAGCCCACCCGGGCTGGCGGGGCCCCGGTGCGGTCCCTCCGTTCGCCATCCCCTGTACCGGGGCCACCGGAGCGGAGTCGTGGCCGGCGGGCAGGGTCTGCAGGACGGGCAGGGGGATGTAGCTCAGCGGTAGAGCGCATGCTTTGCATGTATGAGGTCCCGGGTTCAATCCCCGGCATCTCCATATGGATACTGCTCTTTTTCCTGTCTCTGCTGATGTTTTATCCAGTTAAAAGTCACCACGTCCCGTTAAACAGCAACAAACTGACTGTGCAGGCGAAATGGGTTCATGGTGGCACTTCCCCACGGGGCAAAATGGACATGTTTTCTCCATTTAGTTCTCAGCCTTTGCAAGCACACGTGGCTTTTGTGTCCCATTCACACTCTAAGGGACAGATGCAAGAGGCCCAAAAAGGATGAAGCACCAAACCCMAAAATGCAGGGAGACAGCGGCCGCTCATCCCAGCCTGACACTGCCACATCCCACAGCCTGGCTGAGCTGGTGACATGCAGCCACAGATCAGGGGCTGTGCTCCACATTCCCAGAGCCAAAAGGGAAGGACAAAATTCAGGAYACCACAGCTGACAGCACTCCCTGGCTCTGCAGTACCCATTCTTCTCTGCTGTCCTGCTCAGCCCCTTGGCAGCGTGAACAGCTTGGGATGAGCTCTCAGGGAAACAACCTCCCTGCTTTGATCTCCTCAGGTTGGCTGGGCCCATGGGGAATCTCTGTGGAACTGGGAGMGTTGAGAATTATGGCACAGTTGAGAGGTTTGGCCCAGAGAGACCAAAGCCCACGCAGAGCCTGAAACAGCTTTGATCTACACRGCTCAGTGGCAGCTGTTCTATCTCACTGCTCGGTTACCAACAGCAGCACTGACAAATGCAAAGTGACATTTCCTGCCACAGGGGCYGAAAAGCTCCTTGTGCTATTTATTTACTCATCTTACTTCCAGTTGTTATTTTGAGCCAATGTTTGGTAAGTGTGAAGATCCCTGTCATAAATTACTCCCTGGATAYTCCTGGCAGCTGTACATCTGCAATGTGCCCTGCACATGAATTTGAGACAGTCTGTAGTAACAGGCATGAACTAACAGAATTTTTGTCACAAAATGCCTTCCCATGTGCCTTTTTGATAATTTTCTGACCAGTCCTATGTGCTCACCTTGTAACTAAAACAAGCTTGAACCGAATGCCACTGCCTTTCTTGCAGACAAAGCTGCGTTCTGTTCTCAGCTGTGCACGGGAATTGCTGTGCAGTCTGAGTAGGATGGTGCAGGAGCTCACTGAGTGCAGCAGAGGTCTATCAGAAGGTGCTCTGTGAGAACAGAGTAAGAAACAGGCACTATTATTACTACAATTACTATTATTTCTCACTGATTTTACCCCTGACTTGTAAACTCCACTACAGCTCAGATGCATGCTCCACTTTATGTGTGCACATACATAYGCACACTCATTGACTATATCGCAAGCAGACCAACTGCAGGACTTGATCTCTTTATCCACCAGGCCTTTGTCCCTCACATCCCCTCTTCAGGCTCCCTGATGCCCATCCCCAGGCAGTTCCCTGTTCCTGGAGTGGCCCCTGCCCTTTTCCCTGCTCCAACCTCAGCAGGTGCCCCATTATCACCACAGCAGATGGACACCTTCCCTGGCCTGTCCCTTGTCCCAAGGCCGTGATGCCACTGAGGGTGTGGCATAAACCCGTTCCACCTGTGCCTGTCCCAGAGGAGTTTTGCCAGATGGGTGATACACACCCACCACATCGGAGGCTTCTCACACAGAAATATCACTCCAGGCGTCCCTGAGAATAAAGCAACGAGTGCTCTCCCTCAGGAACCTCCTCACGCTGTGGCAACGGGCAGAGCCGACCCTCTGACCGACGGGTGGAAGCCAAAGAGGTGTTTTTCAAACAGGGGCGCAAGTGCAAGGTTTAAACACCTGAATATAACGAAAGGCTCTGACAGAAGCTTTAGATATGATTCCATTCCAAGCTGAGCTCGCTGAGSCGCACCAGCCACGGCCCCGCTCCGGTGAGTCCAGGCCGGGCTTTGCCGCCGCTCGCCGTCCCGCGCGCGCCAGCCTCAACACAGCCGCGCGCGGCACCGATCCCTCCGCGCCGCCCCCCCCCTCACCCACGCAGGAGAGCGGCGGCGCGCGGCGCGAGGAAAATAGTGCGCAGCGGAGTGATTCGATCGCGGGGGCGGGGCGCCAGAGGCCATATAAGCACCGAGCGGGGGGATGTGTGGCGCAGTTGGTCCTGGGTGAGGCTTGTAGTGTCGGCTTGGCCGAGCGGCGCCGCGGTGAGAGCTCGGCGGGGGGAGCCACTTAGAGAGGCGGCGAGAGCGCCTAGAGGCGTTCTGGGCGTCCGGGCGGGAGGGGARGGGTGGGGTGYGTGCGCTGAGGAGGAAGGGGTTGCGGCTGGGGGCGATGGCAGACAGTGATGGCGGGCCGAGGGCCGCGACGTTGCCCTTCCCTTCAACGGCAGCATCGCGAGGCGGCGGCGGGGAAGGGCGGGATGGGCGAGCGGCCACTGGCAAAATGGCGATGGCGCAGGCGCAGCTGCGCCTCAAGATGGTGGCGAGCGCGCGCCTCAGGCGGGAAGGGGAAGCGGGTGGGGCCCCGGCCCTCAGTGTGATGGGCGGGGCTATAACTGTGACGTCACGGACGGGGAACTCAGGGAAGGGGAACAGTCACTAAAGCACCGTGGGTTTTCCCTGTTCCAGGGAAAAATGCAGATCTTCGTTAAGACCCTGACGGGCAAGACCATCACCCTTGAGGTCGAGCCCAGCGACACCATCGAGAATGTCAAGGCCAAGATCCAGGAYAAGGAAGGCATCCCTCCTGATCAGCAGAGGCTGATTTTCGCTGGCAAGCAGCTGGAAGATGGTCGTACCCTGTCCGACTACAACATCCAGAAAGAATCYACTCTGCACTTGGTGCTGCGTCTGCGTGGTGGGATGCAGATCTTTGTSAAGACCCTGACTGGCAAGACCATCACCCTTGAGGTCGAGCCCAGTGACACCATTGAGAATGTCAAAGCCAAGATCCAAGACAAGGAGGGCATTCCTCCTGACCAGCAGAGGYTGATCTTTGCTGGCAAGCAGCTGGAAGATGGTCGTACCCTGTCTGACTACAATATCCAGAAAGAATCTACTCTGCATCTCGTGCTGCGTCTGCGTGGTGGGATGCAGATYTTTGTCAAGACCCTGACTGGCAAGACCATCACTTTGGAAGTTGAACCCAGTGAYACCATTGAGAATGTCAAGGCCAAGATCCAGGATAAGGAGGGCATTCCTCCCGACCAGCAGAGGCTGATCTTTGCTGGCAAGCAGCTGGAAGATGGTCGTACCCTGTCTGACTACAACATTCAGAAAGAGTCAACTCTGCACCTTGTCCTGCGCCTGCGGGGTGGTAACTGAACCAGCAGGTTGTTGGTTCCAAATAAAAGGTTCCCTGCACTTGTTCATTCCAATAAAGCTGTTGCATCCACAAAAGTTTTTGTCCCAAGTTATGTGAACAGTTCGTGACATTGCCAGCTCTCTAATAAACAATAATTATGTAGTTTCCACAGACAGGAGTTGCAAAACTGCCTTATGCAAGGCTTCCACATGCCTGGTGGTTGTAGATAATCCCTCAGCTATGGTTTTCCTGGGGGTGTTGTTCCGATACCTGGCTGCAGCTCAATGTCCGCCTGCAGATGTTGTGCAGCTGTGGGCATTGTGTCAACATGGATATGAAACAGGAAACTCTAGATGCTCCTGAGGAAGGCTTTGAAACAGCTTTTGGTTGCCCAGCAACTATCAGGTCCTGCCCTTGTTTTGGGATTAATGGAGAAACAGCAGAAGGGAGATGCTGCATATCTGTCACAGGGGTAGCACGATGTCACTGCTGGTCCTGCAGCCCTTGGGCTTGAAAAGTGAGGTGGTAGGAATAAATCTCATCAGTTACGGGGTGGACTTGTTTTTTGCCAAGCTTAATTGCATTAAGCAAGCAGTAATTTCAGATGTACTTACTGGAAATCTGGAATGTGCTTCATTCCAGCTGTGCCCMGAGTGGAAATGCACTGTTGAACGATGTGTCACAGAACAGTTCTGTGTGCTGTAGAAACCCTGGAAAGGGGAAGTTTGCACTGAGGAATTTGGTGGAGGTTGCATAACTCTGATGAAGAGTTAACCATGGCTGTGCTGGACATGGGGAGTGGGAAAAGGGAGAGTGAAACAAATGCCCTTTAAGGGAGTGGTGACATGGACTCACCTCTGGGGAGGGATATGATGGGAGCTGGCGACTGCAGGGGGACCCAAAGTGATCCTGCACTGCCTGCAAGGGATAGCAGGGTTTGACTTAACACCAATTAATTGTTCTTGAGGGAGCAGAAGAAGATGCTTTTAGTCCTGTGTGCCCTGTCAGGAGCAAGTTTGGATCACCAAGATCTGTGCTGGGCTGGAAACATTTCAATGCTAAGRAGCTAAATGCTGCGTGGGCAATGAGCTGGTGCTGTGCCATCGCAGAGATCCGGTCCTCCCCCACGGGAGTGCCCTGGGCTCTGCCCACGCCAGCTCTGCCTCTCTGTTCCTGAGCTGAACCCCAACAATTGCATTGAACAGCTTGCCACTTTGTGGGTTTCCTGTCCTCTTGGGAYGTTGGAAATCACAAACTGAGTATCTCTTCAGAGCTCCAGAAACGCAGGTGTCTGGTCAGTCAAGGGGAAGGTGYCACTGGAATTTGGGAGCATAGCTGCAAGCGGTTCTGATTTGAACAAGGGGAGAGCTCAGGAAGACATGGGGCACCCGATGAATGTCAAAAGCCTGCGCAAACAACTGCAGAGCTGTGTTGCAAGAATTCTTTTATTGTCAATGTCTTGGTAAAAAAATCTCTACAATGCTGTATTTAAAAACCACACTGCTGGGTGAATCCATAATGGCCTGGAGCRGGCTGCAGCAGGGCAGAGCAGGAAACCTGGAGGAGAAACACACTGTGGTCTGGTGAGCTGGGTCAGCCTCTGCTGACCACARAGGGAATGGCAGGAAGTTGTGTCAAGGGCGGTTAGTTTGGATGTTAGGAAAAAGTTCTTCCCCCAGAGGGTGGTTGGGCACYGAACAGGTTTCCTGGGCAGTGATCACAGCACAATAAATGTGACCACAGTTGAAGRAGAGTTTGGACAATGCACTCAGGMACAGGGTGGGATTTTGGAGCTGTTCTGTGCAGGGGTTTGATTTGATCCTRGTAGGTTGCTTCCGACTCAGGGCATTCTGTGTTTCTGTGACCTCCACAGGTCGCTCTGCTCGGTTTGAGGAGCCTCAAGGTTCACAGTGGCAGTGCCAGCACTTCAGAGGCAGCACCCGCGAGCAGAGCCCACAGCTGGGGTGGGATCAACTGCAGAACAGCAAAATTTGATGAGAACAGCAAAGCATTTCAGGAACTTTAAGGTTGTCTTTTGTTCTAATCATGGCAGAACATGCTGTTCCYGGAGATCTTCTCACAGTCACATTGTTCCGCAGCGCCTCAGGGAATCTCCTGGATTTTACTGGGGTTTACTGGGATTTGAAGAAAAATTCATTTCTCAGCATTTCTTTGTTACAAAATATTTTAAAAAGTAAAGGAAAACACAACACCTACCTTGTGCTGTTCTGAAGGCATTGCTGCTGTGAGAGGGGGCACGTCTCACAGCAGAGACAAGCCACGATTGAACTGAGACATGGGTTAATTGATCTGGTAACTAAACAGAAGCAGCTATTAGGGTAAAATGTTTAGAAGGGGGGGAAAAAAGACATAATTAAGCGTAAAGATACAAATACAAGTGTTCCACTGAGAGTCAGGACTTGTGCTGTGSTGGGTTCTCCCCACAATCTCCCCTCACCATGAAGCACAGTGTGGCAGGTAGATGCGCTCCAGTTTCCAGATGTTTTAGCTCAGGTCAGCTGGCACAATGGGATGTTGGCGTATGATTGATTTAAAACAGGCTGTCACAAACTGGACTCTTTATTTTCTGCAGTCTTCTACATTTTTCTAGAGATGAGTTTCAAAGAGGTTTATATTCAGGGCAACTTTAGGTGCACACAACAGACAAAAGACCTAATTCCTTGGAGAAGTAGAGTCGGGTTAAAAGGGAGGACAGAGGCAGGTTGATAGGTAATAAATCTACTCTTCAAGGAAGACATATYTATGCATGTACACATGAATTCAAATACATTTATGTTATTTTTATCTAGTATGTAGTGACTGAAGGAGGAATGGCTTCAAACTGAAGGTAGGTTTAGATTAGATATTAGGGRAAAAACCTTTACTGTGAGGCTGGTGAGGGACTGGAACAGATTCCCCAAAGGAGCTGTACTTGCCCCATCCCTTCGAATGTCCCAGACCAGGTTGGACGGGGCTTGGAGCACCCTGCTCTAATGGAAGCAGGGTGCGTGACAGAGGCAGAGGCGTGGAACCACACGAGCTTTAAGACCCCTTCCAGCCCCAAGCCATTCTATTCTACAATTTTAAGCCTGAGCGGTGTTTTATCTCTTTATCTATTTTATTTCTCTATACGTTTGACTGATTTTCCCGTTTTTCCGCGCCTGTGTACCCGCACCGTTTCCCGCGGGAGGGCGTGGCGAGGGGCGTGGCCTCTCCCTGTTAGCCCCGCCCATCCCGGAGCAGCCCCGCCCCTCTGCCGGGCCGGGCCGGGCCGGGCCGCGGGTCCATAAAGCGGCGGCGCCGGTGGGACCCGCTCCTGGTCCCGGCTCCTGGTCCCGCCTCCGCCCCGCCATGGCCGTGGCCCGCTGCAAGCTGTCCGTGGGGCTGGGGCTGGCCGGGGTGGCCTGCGCGCTCCTGGGGGGCAGCCTGCTGCTCGCCGGGCCGCTCATCATCCGGCAGCAGGTCATCAAGGTCAGCGGGGCCCGGGGGTGTGCGGGAGGCGTGGCGGGGGCTCGGCTCGCTGCGGGATGCGGGCTCGGTGGGGGCGCGGAGCGGGATGCGGTGCAGCCGGTGCGGGATCGGGAGAGGGTGCGCTGGAGCCCGTGTGCGGTGCGGGGCGCGGTGCGGTGCGGGGTTCGGTGCGGTGCGGTGCGTGCTGGGCTGGTGTGAGGGGACAGTGGCCTTGAGCGCCGAGCGCTGGAGGTGGCAGTGTCGCTGCTGCGGCTCCGAGCAGCCTCAGGCTCTTGCTCTGGGCAGCTGCGGGCTTGGGGGTGTTCCACGCTTGGTGACRGCAGATTTGCCCCGAGTGAGCAGGTTCTCATCCCTGATTAGCGAGGGCTCTTTGCATCACTGCAACTGGTTGGGGATGCGGTGCTTGGCAGAACATCAYCCTGAGCACCATCCCTTCCTCCCTCTCTGCCTGCCTCTACCTGCAGCACCAGTTATTTCTTTCATAAATAGGTGAGCAGACTACCGGGCTCACACGTGTTGTGGTGAGATGCTTTCCCAACTGCAAACAGGACAGATGATGTGCAGGAGCGCTCCAAAGGAGCCTCGTGCGTGGAGCAGCCTCTGAGACATCCTCTCTCCTAAACTGAAATCCTGAAGAGTTGCCTCTCTGAAGACTTGTTTTATCCACAGGACAAGTGCTGAGGCTGCAGAGGGTTTGTCCCCACAGTGTGGGGCTGTGGATGGAGTTGTTGGTCTGTTCAGTAATTGCTGCACAGTTTTATGAACCAGCACTCCTGTCCCTGCTGCTGGGACCCTGCTGCARTGTAGAGCTCATCCCCACATTTAGCCAAACCTTTTCCTGCCTCTTCAAAGCAGATGTGCTCCCTGCCTTGGCTGTTCTCCAAGCTTCCACCTACCCAGGTCAGCCCCTGAAAATTTGCTTCTGATGAAAGAGGTGAACAAACACCTCATAGCCAATAGCTGGCATCGCATGTGGCGCAAAGTCTCTGCCGAAAATGACCTACTTAAACATCCCCCCTGCAAGTGCAACTGGCTGGGCAGAGCCAGACAGTCCTGTAGATTAAACAGTAGAAAATCTTTGTTCAGCTTCATGGCCTTCAGGAGCTGGTACCTGCAAATAAAAGGCTGAATGGTCCCTGCAGAACAGAAATTACGTTTTTCGTGCGAAAACCTTTCTGCCCTCTTTTTAGCTAAGCCTGATTCTTTCAACCTAATTAGCTAAATCCTAATAATTTGTAATGAGAACAGAAGATGAGGAAAAGACCAACCCTTGTTTCTCCTCCCTTCACCTCAAGCCCTTGGTCTCCATATCTTCAATGTGTCCCTGAGCTCTTTTCCATTTCAAATTAAAGCTATTAACTGAGTGATGATGGGTGATGAGAAATATTCAGAACCTTAATGAAAGTCCTCGGTGGAACTTTAGAGTAGCGTGGGTAAGAGGAGCTCAAAGGGCTGGGGTTGGGCAGGTAAAGGCTGGTTTGCCCATCCTGAGCTCTGTCAGGATGGTGTTGCCTGATGGAAAAGCACTCAGTTACAGAGAGGTGGTTGTTTCAGGGATATCTTTGGTTAAAGTCTGCAGGAAGCAGGGAATTTGGGGCCTGTCTCCTGCCCCATCTGCAGTGRGCTGCCCATGGTGTTGGCCCTGCAAAACCTGGGGATGCTGCTTTTCTGGAAGCATCTGGAATACCTCATGCCTGAGGTATGGATTTGAACTCAGTGAGGCTGCATCAACTCCTCCTCTGCCACCCATGGCTGCTCCATTTGGGATCTCTGGTGCTGTCCTGGGTGGCAGGAGCAGGGACCAGGTGACAGCCCYGTCCTTGCAGGGTGAGGAGGAGGCTGGTGAGAAGATGTGGAGGCTGAGGTCTGACTGACACCCAGCTTGGCTGCTCCTCCCAGCCTTCAGGGGAAATCTCATCTCTCAGTTTTACTGAGCMGGGTAAAATCCTGGAGATGCAGGATTTGGATGCTGTGGTGGAGCTTTCAGTTCCTTTCAGTTCCTCAGGAGCAAAGATCAGTCTGGTCAGGAGGGGCCAAACATCTCAGTGACCCTTTGCAACCCATCTACTCGACATAAGTTCTATTTTTATTTCAGACATATGACCATGTTTGTTTTGACCTGCAAGTAGCTTGATTTTAAGGCTCCCCTGTTATGTGGGTTTACATAGCAGGGCCCGTGGAGTATTTTGAGCTGCTGTGCCCAGGTGAGAGAGAGCTGGGAAAGGCTGCAGGGAGCTGGGATGTGSCTCCATCTGGATGGGTACATATTAGAAAAATAAATGCATATGCAACAAGTGATCAGGGGAGTGCAAGACAGAACGAGCAAGTAAAGGAAACAAAATGTTCTGATCACACTCGGCTGGACACTTGGGAATCAGGGTTCTAAAAGGGACTGAACAAAAATGTGTCCTATTACTGCTTCTTTGCCATGAAATTCTTGAGGCTGGCAAAGTTAGGGCATGGAAGTGGTGGTGTAAAGGGTTTGCTGGGCTACACAGCATTAGGGACATGTCTGCTCAGGGGTAGGGCCTGGAAGAAGGGCTTGCAGAGCCCTGCCACTCACAGGTAGCTCAACCTTGCCCTGAAATGCCCCAGGAAAGGTGGGGAACTGGTGGGGAAGCCTCTGGCAGTGTTCCACCTCAACCTGCTGTGTCAGCAAATGTGTCTGGTCAAATGGAGCTGCTCCAGAGCAGGAGGGGCTGTGAGGCTGCTGAGCTGCACCAGGTTAAAGCCCTTGTGCCTCTTCCAGCTGGTGGATCAACCCCACTTCCATAAGCTGGCTGGGTTACCTAAGCAGGGCAAGGATTTGTGCTTGCAGGAGAAAAGATTACGGTGGAACACATCCARAGTAAATGTTCAAGAAGGAACAAGCTCTTTCTCCTGCAGCCCCCCGGAGGCAGGGAGGGGATGGAGACAGAGGTGCCCAGATGGTCCTGAGCTGGGGAGGGCTTAAGTTGTCTTTGATTCCTGCGGGCATTTCCCAGCACACAGTGACACGGGAACACAACTGTGCCTTGCATTTGACCTGCYTCCTGATCAGCTGTGAGTCAATGTGGACTGGCAGCTCAGAAGAAGCTGAGGTGTCCTGTGCTGTGCTGTTGGGATGCAGCTGGGTTCTYATCCCAGTTCTCTGTCTTCTTTTTGGGAATCTAGTGGGCTCTCCCTGCTGGTACCCAACCAGTTTTGAGGAAGGCTGTGCCAATTCTCCCAGCCCTTGGCTGCTCCTGGCTATGAGGAGCTGMTGAAGGCATGAGTGAAGGCCCTGGGGACAGGGTTGTTTCTGCCAGGCTAGTAAAACGTGCAGAGTAGTGAATAATTCAGTGCTGGTTTGTTTAGTGCAGATCCAAGTCTCCAGCACATCAAAACAATTCAAAAGTCTTGTGGGCAGGATTTGAAAAGTTAAGCCTGAATAAATATGCCAGAAGACATCCTGTGGCATAAACTTGATGCTTCTGCACACAGGAGAGTTCTCACTGGAGATACAGYGTGGTTTCAGTCTGCCAAACAGGCCTGGGTCATCTGGGAGCCTCTGTTGGAACTGCCACCTTTKGCTTTGCYTTACACTGAGCTGAGGGTGGATGTGCTTTTCTGCAGCACAGAGCCCAAAAGTGGTAACTCCTTACTCCRTTTTTCCTTGCAGAACGTCAGGATYGACCCCAGCAGCATCTCYTTTCAAATGTGGAAAGAAATCCCRGTTCCTTTCTACTTGTCRGTGCATTTCTTCGAAGTGCTGAACCCCAAGCAGGTGCTCAAGGGAGAGAAGCCGGTGGTGAGCCAGCGTGGGCCCTACGTGTACAGGTCAGGTACCAATTGTGGTCCAGCTTGGCGTGAGCTTGACCACTTGACCAGGCTGCTGGCCACTCCTCTGGCAGGAGGACATRGCATCAGCAAGAGTCCAGTGGCATTGGATTGGAAAGTGACCCAAATGTGCTCTGATCATGCTAAAAACACATGTGAGACCCCTGGCCACTGGGATAATGAGACTGGTGGGTGCTTCACTGAGTTGTGGAGCTCAATCCCATTCTGGGGCCTGTTGGGCAGCCACATGTGKGCTGATATGGTCCAAACACTGGCATGAGGGGTGTTGGTGTGCTGGTGGGTGACCCTATCTTCAGAGTGCTCTCATTTTATCTTCATTGTGCATTTATGAGCCCAGCTCTTGAGCTGGAGTTGCCTCAATATTGAACTTGATGGGTCAGCCTAATTTCTTAACTAACCCGAGCTTGACACAAGTGCTCTGGTCATAGGAACAGTATGGAGAGCACATATGGAGCACTAGATCTATGCACAGCAGGGCTGGGTGCCTTTGCTGTGGCTGAGGACAGTGGCTGAAGCCTCAGGTGCTTCTCAGCACCTGAAACAGAAAATGAAGGTTGACAATGAGTTGAGTTGAGTGTGTGAACCTCCCCGTGAAGCGRTGATCTAAAGCACATCGGTGCCTACGCCAATGTGGCCAGGTTAAATCAGCAGCCTRAGCGAGCTCATGTGGGAAGATTACTGTTAATCCAAAGCTGTTTGAGCAGTGTGGAGGGGAGGCCTGGCAGGATGTATGTGCCCTTGTTCCCCCAGGCYTCGCCAGGTCGCACCATGCAGGTTCTGTACGTTGGCGTCGCACGCGTCGCTTGGGGAAAAGCTTCCTTTACTTTAAATAAGAATAAACAAAGGAGCAAAGCTTATTAGTGTCCTTGTGTTCCTGCTGAGCAAGATTAGTGCCCTTCCTTTATGTGGGTTGTAAAACAGAGGCTCCACAGTTTGTTTTTGCCACTGAGTTGAGCTTCAGGTCCTTCAGGAGCAGTAACAGGCTTGTGATGCTGTGGAGAACCTCAACTGCTGCAGAGCTCTGCAGCCTCCCTGAGCTGGACTGCTCCTGTGGCCTGGGCTCAAGTCCAGCAGCAGTGGGCAGTGGACATGGATGGCCTGAAGCCCTGAGGAGCAGAAGGGAAATKATGCCAGTGGAGGATCAGGCTGTCCTGAACCCAGGACCCATCTGGAGCTTGGTGGTGAATCAGTGTGGGCTCACTGGTGGAACTTGTGGCATCTTGGCTGGTCCTCTCCTGTTTCCAGGCTGCTCTGGCTCTTCATATCTGGGCACCTTTCTGACGGGGCTGAGCTTTCCAGTGGCTGTAGGTGAAGAACAGAGGAGACTTTCACCATCAATTTCTTGTCAGCTGGTGTTGAGTTGAGAAGGAACACTCTGTAAGACTCCAGCCTGTCAGGGATGCGTTGCTCCTGGCTGCCCTCTCCTCCTGCCAGCCCCTGCCCCTGGTCAGGGTGTGAGGTTTTTATCTGTTCCCACGCTGCCTCCCCGGCTACCCCGTGGCTCCTCGCTGGGGTTTGGTCTCTCCACAGCAGCAAGCCCAGGCCTGTGCACCCCATTATTGCTCCACAGGCAGCAGGGGCTCTGCCAGGGGGAAGGTTCCCATGATCTCCCATCTCTTTGCAGGGAGTACAGGTATAAAACAAATATCACGTTCCATGACAATGACACMGTTTCCTACCTGGAGTACCGGCACCTTTTCTTCCAGCCTGACTTGTCCAATGGCACTGAGGACGAATACATCGTTGTGCCAAACGTTTTGATGATGGTAGGTGCTCGTTGCCTGGATGGGTTCCACCTTCTGAGCTTGTGGGGAGGGCGAGATGCTCAGCACTGAATCACTGAATTACCAAATCACTTCCTTGTAGGGCTTAATGCTGATCGAGTAATGAGGTGGTTAAGCTTATAAAATGTAATTTTCTGCTTTCTGGGTGTTAGTTGTTCTTTTGGGCTGCTGTTGTTCCAAAACCATAGCATGCAGAGCAGCTGGGCTTGAGTCTGCAACCTCACTTGAGTATCCTGTGAGGAAATCAAGCCTGTGAGCCCTCAACTGCTTTTTTCCCTAACTGGGAATAAATGCCTCAGTCTGTCCAGAGGAGTCCTCTGGGGCTACAGATGCGAGCAGCAGAATGATTTTGCTTAGCGCCAAAAATGCTTCTTCTTTGGTAAAGATGTGTCTCTAATCTCAGGAATTTGTTTTCTTTCCTAGGGAGCAGCTGTGATGATAGAAAAACTGCCAGAGTTTTTAAAGTTAATAGTGAGTGGAGCCCTGGCTAGCCTGAAACAGCAGGCGTTCATGAACCGGACAGTGGGGGAGATCCTGTGGGGCTATGAAGATCCCCTCATAGACACCTTAAACRTGCTTGTTCCTGGCCTGATCCCTTTCGAGGGCAAGTTTGGATTGTTCATGGATGTAAGTAAAGTGTTGCTTGGGAATGCTAAAATCACAGCAATATCGGTCTTGGGGATAGCTCGGACACTCCAGGGAAATAAATTGAGTAGCTGAAAGCATGTGAGGCACCTCTGGAGCTGATGGAGCACCCAAGCAATGTGTGGCAGCCTCTCTGTGTGCAGTAGATTTAACAGCCATTCCTTCTCCCTGCAGTTTAACAACTCCAATTCCGGGCTGTTCACAGTGAACACAGGCATGAAGGACATCAGTCAGGTTCACATGGTGGACTCSTGGAATGGCATGAAGGAGGTGAGTGTCTGGCAGCAAACCTTTCATAAGGGGGCAATGCCTGATTTAGAGCAGCATAAGCTGAAAGCTCTGGGTGCTGTTGTGTCTGGGTCAGGATTGAAGACAAGTTTCTACAGGACTTTGAGTGCTGCAACTTCTGTCCTAGCAGGTTGCCAGAAGGCAGCCGGCCATGTGACAAGGGCCTTGTCAGGAAGCATTAAATTCATCTCCTCATGGGCGGCACTTGGACTCCCTTGCAGTGCTCTTGGAGCTGATTGCCTCTAATGGTTGAGGTCTCAGGCTCCTGTGGCTGGTGTTTAAGGTGTTAAATACTGTTAAAGGGGTGTTTTCTCTTCCCTTGTGGAATTCTGCTYCWAACTAAAGTYAKCTGAACCTACAGATCAACCACTGYRGGAGCACTTGGGACAGGTGGATTTTGTCCATTAACTGGGGGGATGTTTAACTCACAGAGTCATGAGTTAAACATCCCCAGCAGGAGTTAAAACTGACTCCAGCCAGCTYGTCCTTCTGAGTTTTTCTCTCTACACTCATCCCACAGGTGAAATACTGGCGGAGCAGCCAGTGCAACATGATCAATGGGACAGCAGGGGAGATGTGGCCACCGTTCATGTCCCCGACCTCCCTGGAGTTCTACAGCCCTGATGCCTGCAGGTGAGGCCACAGCTGCCAGCCTGTCCCCGTGCCACACACAGAGTCCCTGTGTGGTGACGCAGAGGGCTCAGCATTTGTTTCTGTAGTTAAAGTTCAGCTGCAATATCTGAGCTTTGCAAACAGCRTGATTGTCTAATTAGCAGTATCTTGTGGTGTCCATAAATACCTTCCAGGTCGCTGGAGAAGTCCAACTTGCCCACGTTGAATCAGTAGAAAATAACCAGATGTGGTTATCTTGTGTGGATAAGATATGGGCAGTGAGAAGGAGAAGTAAGGGTTTTCAGAGGGAAATGCAACTGTAACTGTTTGCAGAACTCTTTCAGCTGACTAAACCCGAGTAGGAGTTATGTCAGGGGGGAACTCRTGCCACCATTTCCAGGATAAGAGTCTTTTTTTTTTTCCACTCTTGCTTATGTGAGATACCCTGACTTTAGCTGATCACACAGGGGTTAAAGTACCCTGCAGAGCCAGCTTGTGTCTGTGCCTGAGGCTAGAAGGAGGGGAAGCAGGCACAAACACCCTGTCCCTAGCTCGGGGGAGATAATGTTAATTCTGGCTTTGTAGATAGTGCTGCAAAACAAGCAAGTGCTCATGTTGAATRGAGAACAATGACCTCTTCAGTGAACAAACAGGCAGCTGAGCGAGCAATAGCACAGGGATTCCTCTACCAGGGACATCAGCAAACACCACAGTGACCCGGAGCCAGGAATCTGCAGGGAAGTTTACCTGTAACCAAAGTTTAAATAAACACATACCTGCWCCTGTAAAACTACAGAAATGTCTGGAACAGAGCATGCTTCCAGGCAAGGCTTCCAGTGAAATGGATTAAATGAAGTTTGGTTTCTTGTTGGCACAGGAGGTTCCAGCCACACTGAACTGTGGGGGAAGTGGCTCAGCTTCTTCACCAGGCAGTGCTGAGTCTGCTCCCAAACCTCTGCCTCAGCCTCTGTTGGCCCAGAGTCACAAAMATGGCTTGGCAGGCTAAGAGCATGCCTGCCCTGCAGCAGGACAGCAGGGCTCACTCACCTCCTGTGCTCTGTGCACATCGAGTGCAGCTGATGCTGAGATGCAGCTGCCAAGGTTTTATCCTCTGCTGTGCTCCAGCAGCCTCTGCCTCCTTGCTGGAAGGTGAGAAGAGCGGAAAGGTGCACGTGTGACTGCTGAACAGGCCATCAATTCCCCATCCTTGGTCCTGGCATCAGAAATGATGGAGGAATGATGAACCTGGAGGAATGAGCATACCCTTGGCCTGCCCAGGCTGTCCTGGGTCCCCTCTGTGACCCCCTTACCTGTTCTGTGATTGTCTGATCCCTGCAAGCTGCACTCAAGCATGAAGGGAGCAAACTTTTGTCCTGGAAACTTGCATTAATCCTGGCCAGCTGGTATCAATATTGCAGCACATCACTAGCCTGTTGGAGCAAGAAAGGAATCTTGCTGTGTCACACAGAGAAATTTTCCACTCCCCTGGCAGCCTGCTGCTGGAGCTAGCCTGCAAAAGAGATTTATTCAGTGTCCATGCCCTGTACCAGAGCACCTCTGAGCCAAGTTTGCATAAAGTGGGTATTATCTCTTGGAGAGCAGCCCTGGGGATTACCACATGCCTTTAAACAAATCTCACCTGGATATAGCACACAGGCTTATAAGCTTGTGGTTTCTCTCCATAGAGTCTTTATGTGYACTTCAAAGATGGAAAGCAAAAGGCTTAAGCATTCATTCCCCATCCAAAGCACTGCTCTGAGGGTTTATCTTGATCTCAAAGTCTAAGTTACGTTGCAACCGCATCTTATCCAGCTGAGATAAGGACGAAGCTGCTGGCTAATGCTGATCCTTCTCCACTGAAACCTTTCCAGATCCATGACACTGGTGTATGAGCAGTCTGGAAAGTTCCAGGGTGTGCCCACCTATCGCTTCGTGGCACCAAAAACCCTTTTTGCCAACGGCACGGACTATCCACCCAACGAGGGCTTCTGCCCCTGCCTGCAGTCGGGCATCCAGAACGTCAGCTCCTGTAGGCTCAGTAAGTCCATTGCTCCCTGGCTCTCCYTGATGCAGCAATATCAAATTGGAGATGTGACACAAGTTTGGTTGTTTGGAAAATCAGCTCTGGTGGCTGCTGAAAAGCACTGCTGGGCTCTGCATGCACTCCCACTCYTTCCTCAGCAATGAGGGAAAGAGGGAGAACCCTTGTGCCTAAAATCCCTGGCACTGTGGGAATGCCTGAGGATACAGTGGGTGCATTATGTCCCCTGGGCTGGGGAGCGAGGAAGAGGCAGCCAAATTAAACGTTAACCTTGGACACAGAGTGTGCGTCACACAGGAGTGACCGTCCAGACTGGGTGTCTTAACTGGTGTCTGGGAACAGCCAGTTACCATGGCATTGTTGGTGTGTGGCTGGAGAGCAGGGCTGGTCCTTAACCCTCCCAGAGCAAAGGAATAACCTGCGGGGAGGGAAGGGAAGGGAAGGAAATTGCTGGGTGGGAGGAAAAAAATATTACAGGCTGTCCAGAACAAGTGCTGCAACAGCTTAAAAACCTCAACAAAACCTCTTAGGTGGGTGTGGAGGAGCTTAAGATGTCTTTAATCTCTTTCAGATGCACCGATGTTCATTTCCCACCCTCACTTCTACAACGCTGACCCGTCCCTGGTGGATGCTGTGGAAGGCCTGCACCCCAACAAGGASCAGCACGGGCTTTTCCTCGATGTGCACCCCGTGAGTGAGCACAGCACGGTCCTCCCCTCACCCCAGGGACCAGCCCAGCATGGGGGGACCCTGCTATCAGCTGAGTGGTGGCACCACTCTGCTCTCGTGGCACTGATTTCAGCAGGTTCCATAGTGCAAAGACTGGCGAGGGCATGTGCAGATAAAAATGTCAAAGCCATAAACTAATTGAATAATTAGCCTGGCTTCTAGAGAATTGCAGAACTAATTATAAACTAATTGTTTCGATAAGCACAGTGAAGCTCTTTCCACTGACTCAGGCCTATCACACCAGGAGGTGTATCTGGCAGCAGCCCAGCTATGCCCCAAATCTGCAAATGCACATTGCCATGAGAACKGGCTGGCAAAGTCTGAAGAGCACGCTGTGGCTCAAGCTGGCACCTCCATTTCTGGGCTGGCTTCTTGCACTCTTCAGCCTGCCCATCTGGAGCTGACWGCTTTAGCACTGGGCTGCTGCTGTGTTACACCCCTCACATACCTACAGCCACTCCAGAGGGGATGATTTGGTGTGTCCTGAGGCATCATTGACTCAACTGCTGATGTGAAAGGGCTTTTGAGGTTTCCCACCCACAGCCTGTTTTGTGCAGGTTCMATTTTTCCAAATGTTCAGTGATGTTTGCTTAAGCAAAAACCTGCTTTTCCTCTAGAGGTAAGGTAAACTGTGTTTCTTATCTAGACATTGGGTTCTGACTGCTTTTCTTATCACAGTTATGAAAATCTAATTAAGTTTATTACAGTATCAAACATCTACTGATAACCATACAGTTAACCATATTCTTATCTCGCTGCAGGCTGCTGAGTACAAACAGGTATAGTTCAAAAAAATTCTCTGCTTGTAAAAATGTATTGCAAAACTGCAGAGTCAGGAAAAACCCACTGCTTTAATGGGTGTCAATGAGATCAGCTTTGAAGTGTGATGTTTTTTGTGGTTTGTGGGGTGTTGCTGGACAGGGTCTGTTGGTTCCTACAAAGTCGCTTAGAGGTTACTGATGAACTTTTTGTTCTCTTCCTCTACAGATGACGGGCATCCCCATGAATTGCTCCATCAAACTCCAGCTGAATCTGTACATAAAGGAGGTGTCTGGGATACTGTAAGTGGTCACCTTCTAGCAATGTCYATCTCCCTTCCCTGAGCAGGGAGTCCTCTTAGGAAGAATTCTGGTACTAATTGTGACCTGCTCAAGCACAAACCTAAGTGTGTGTTTCTTTTTTCCATTTTCTTCCCCCCAGTCAAACAGGGAATATTAAGCCGGTGGTGCTGCCGCTGCTGTGGTTTGCAGAGGTGAGCTGCCTTCCCCAGCCTGATTCTGCAGAGYTTCTCCTGCTTCCACATCACCCAGTGCTGGGGAAACTCCACTTTGGATAAAGCTTTAAGCCAGCCAGACTAATTAAGCACCAACAGAAGGCTTTTCAGTGCTTGGCTATGCCATTAATCCCTCTGAGCTGAACAARCCCTGCTCTATACTTGGTAAATCTCTGGCTCTGCCCTAGATGTGGGGTTAAATAGGGCCCTGGACAGAGCTGCCAGCATCCCTGTCCTCATGTGGGCCAGGAAATGCAGCCTCCAGCTGTGGGTGCACGTCCAGCTGACTGCAGCTATTTACTAAAAGCTTTYAGCCTGACTGAATCTTGAATAAATTCCCTAATTTATGCTGGGAGGTGGTGGGAGAGGAATCATTCAGCTGGTCTGTCTCAGCTCAGGATGGGMCAGAAATGCCACTGACACCTCTGCTTTTTTGAGCAGAGTGGATCCATCGAAGGCTCAGTCCTAAAGCAGTTTTACAACAACCTGGTGCTGATCCCAATGCTGCTGGATTACGTGCAGTACATCTTGCTTGGGCTGAGTGTCCCACTCATTATCTCAGCAGCTGTGCTTATGGCAATGAGTAAGGTAAGAACCTGCAGATGCCTGATGGGAAATGCTCTTAGTCAAATCAGACTTAATCAGATGATGTCGTTTGGGCTGACAATCTAACACGTCTGAGGAAACATTGGCTGATGCCACCAGCAGTGTCCTGATAGTGCCAAGTGCCAGCAGATAGCAGCAGGACTTCCTTAGCCATCTAGAAATCGGGCTGCAAATAGGTACTGTGAAGAATTTCTGGCTTTCTTTGTGCACAGCAGTGATGGAAGTGGCTCCCTGGAGGAGGAGGTGTTTCTCAGCTCACATGGCTAATGACAAAACAAACCTAGTTTATCAACCAGCCTCTGTAGAAGGCAGCAGCAGGTCTGTGCCATTGCACAAATCTGCATCTCTGCACATTTCCCAACAGTTTTTCAGTCAGAACAGAGCCTTCTCCAGAGGATGGAGCTGTTTGAACACAGCCTGTTGAGGAAAATGCAGTTGCTGTTTTCTTGCAGAGGGGACACAGCCACTKTGGCTGCTTCTCAGCCCAGCACAGATTCTGTCTTTCCTTGAAACGCACTTGGTTTCTGTGCCAACTGCTCCAAAGAGCTCTGGAAGTGAAACCCTCAGAGCCTTTGTGGATCTGGGTTTRCTGAGAAGTGAAGACCTTTGAAGGCTGCTGGGAGCTGGCAGCTGGGCCACGGGGCAGGCAGTGGGGTGAGGCTGAGCTGAGCTCTTAGGACAGGGTATAAAATAGCCCAAATAACTCTGAGGAGATCTGTGGCTCTGGCTCCACAGTGATCTGATAACACTCAGCTCTCTACAGATTTTAGTTCTCAAAGTAGTGATTTAAAGCCTACCCTAACCCTGTATCAAAGGAAGTTGATTTAGCATTGCACCACAGTCAGGTGGCTTAGGCTGGCTCTGAAGGKGCAGAGGTGAAGAGTGGGGATTAAAGGGAATGCTTGGGATGAGAGCAGACTGAGGAGAAGCCTGTGAGGGGCTGTCTTTGCCCAGCTGGTTACTGCTCTTGCTGAAACACCAATACAAACCCACCTTAAATAGTGCCGGGTTCTCGGAGTATCACGTAATTGGATTTTAATCTAGTCTGCAATCACTTAAGTGACTTAAACACATGATCCCAAATSCCCTTGTTCCTCCACACACTTCCCTGCAGGGTGGGAGTGATGTTAGAGCCCAGCATGGAATYCAGAGCTCACTACCAACCCCTTACTGTGCCCAGGATGGTCCTGGGTTGAGCTGCCCCAGCTCACGTGAGCGTCTGTGCACTCTGCTGCATGACCCCAGCGGCTCAGAAAATGGGCTGGGCAGTTCTTTTTAACACCTTATGCAGCCTTGAGCTGGCATTTCTTCACCCTGCTTTGTGCAAGTCTTAATTCCTGGTATCAGAGAGATTTAACCATGCCAGAAAGGGTGAGGGAGAAAAGCTGGATTTTAAACTCATTCAAGCCGAGTGAATATCTGCTTGTGAAATATCCCAAAGCCAGGCATAAGCCAGCTGTGCTTCCATGCTCAGCCAAAAGAGTCATGAAGTGCTAGAACTAAAAACTGAGGGCAGGAAGTGCCCAACTACCTGGGAAGTGGTTAAAAAACATCAGTGACCTTCCAAATCTCTTAAGAAAACTGTACAACAACACATGAGTGTCTCCACCTAATGAGTAGATAAGAAGTTGTAAACTGGAAGACAGCGATTTGCAGCCAAGGTGTGTTCCTCRTTTGATTGAAGTGTTGCTGATCTAAGCCCTGATTGCTTAATCATGCACAGTTCTGCCTCTGGAAGTCACAGGCGATGTCAGAGGGGACACTGAGCGGGGACATTGTCCCCACCTTCACGTGTCTGGAGCGTGAAGGTCTCCCTGAAGCCAGCTCCTCCCTCAGGTGTCTGGTGTGCCTCTGGCTTCTGGAGGGAGCAGTGTGCTCTGAAGCCAGTGCAGATGAGGTACTGTGAAACACTGAAATCTTAGTCTAGTTTATAGTGGAGCCAGTTTGAAATGCATCTGTTGGACTCGCAGCTCTAAAAAACTATAATCTGTACAGGGGGGAACATCCCCAGACACAGCTCTCTGCCATTGTGGCCTAAAGCCTGTGTGGTGACATTTCAAAAAAGCAAACAGACCATTTCAAAACTGGCTTGATTCTGAACAAAATCTGATATAGGACTTAGTTTAATCTAAATTTCAAAATCTTCATTAATAACTAGATTCTAGTTCAACAGTGATTTTTTTTTTTTCAAATCTCTTCCGAAAATTGGAACCCTCATGAAATTCATGTCYAAGTGCACCATAAACTAGACTGATTGTCTTCTAGGAAAAATGCTCTTTATTTTGGAGTAGCAATAAAAAGAGCTCAGACAGTAATAAGGCAAACCAGGCCACCTCTGCCAAAAAGCTGCCTCCGGTTGAGGTGTTGCGGGAAGCCAGACTGTAGGTGGGTACCCAGTCAAGGTAAAACACTTTTCTCTCATCCTGATTTGATTAAACTTTACTTGAAACCAATCAAATGAAAYGTTTGCTGTCCACATCTCCCAGACATGCCCTCCTGGCAAGCTTTGATGGAATGCTGTTGTCTCATTGCTTTATTTGGGGCAATTTAAATGTCTTAATACTGGCATTTAACCAGACTGCAAAYACATGCTCTTATTGTTTCTCTTGGTGGATCTGATCTCCAGCCCTAATAATATCAGCAGAGATCAGGGGGAAAGTAGGATTTGGGTGAGGAAATACTTTTCTTGCCTCTTTCCCCCCCCCATCTCTGAGTGTTTGAGGTCCAGAGGTAAGTTTTTTGAATGGGTGAAAACTTGTGGGGTAGCAGAGGTCGTCGGCTGGTGGTGGTCACCCCTCCCCTGCATGCAGGGAGCCCCRACGCAGAGGCTTTCAAGGGAATTTCTGATGTATGAAATATCTGGGTTTGTGTTACAGGAAAACAAAATCACTGAGTCGTTGAGCTTGAAGGGTCCTCGGGAAATCATCTATCCCAATCCCTGTGCTCAAGCAGAGTCACCTATAGACGGTTGCCCAGGACCATGTCCAGATGTCTCTTAATATCTTCAGGGATGGMGATTCCCCAGGGCAACTTGTTCCCTGTTTTTACAGTTTTCACAGAAAAAATAACAAAGCAAAAAAAAAAAGAAAAATGTCCAGATGGAATCCCCTATATTTAAGTGCCCCTTGGCTCTTGTCCTGCCCCTGGACACCTCCAAGAAGAGCCTGRCTCTGTATTTACACCCTCCCTTCAGAAACTTGTTTACAGTGGTGAGATCCCCCTGAGCCTTCTCTTCTCGAGGTTGAACAGCCCCAGTTCTCTCAGACTTTGCTCACACAAGAGACACCCCAGTCCCAAAATCACTTTAGTGCTCCTTTGCTGGACTCTSCCCAGTATTTCCATCTCTCTTGTCCTGGCAATCTCAGAACTGAACACAGCACTCCATGTATGGCCTCASCAGTGATGAGCAGAGGGGAAGGATCACTCCAGGACCTGCTGCCAACACTGCCCATGCAGCCCAGGACGCAGTTGGCTGCCTTTGCATGCTGCTGGCTCRTGTCCAGCWTGGTGTCCCCAAGATCCTCAGGTCCTTTTCTGCCAAACTGCTGCAGAGCTGAGTGGCCTTTAGTGCATCCTGGTGTGTGGGGTTGTTCATCCCCAGCTGACAGACCTTGTACATCCTCTTGTTGAACCTCATGAGGGTCCTTCCAGTCCATTTCTCAGCCTGACAAGGTACCTCTGGGGGACCAGCCACTCCCCCAGTTTTTGMAGATCATTAATAAAGATGTTAAACAGGACCAGACCCAGTATTGACCCCTGATGTACACTGATGGTTACTGGCCTCCAACTCAACCCTCTGGGCCTGGCTGTTTGGCCAGTTTTCAGTCCACCTCACTGCCTGCTCATCCCGTTCCTACTTCATCAGCTTCCCCATGAGGTTTTCATGGGAGATGGTATCCAAAGCCTGGAGTCCAGGTTGCCAATACCCAGTGTTCTCCCCTCATCTACCATGTCATTCCATCATAGATGGTCAAGCACAATTTCCCCTTGGTGAAGCTAAGTGTCTCCACTTGATGATTTAATTGTCCTTCACGTGCCTGGAAATGGTTCATAGAATTAGCTGCTCCATCACTTTCTCCAAGATGAAGGGAGGCTGACTGGCCTGTAGCTCCTGAGGTCTTCCTTCTTKTTCTTTTCCAAAGAGAAGTGACATTTGCTTTCCTTGTCTTTGGGCCCCTCTCCCCATTTCCTGTTCAAAGACAACAGGGAATGGCTTTGCTGTGACCTTAGCCYRCTCATCYCATCAGGGTCCRTGGWTTTGTGCATGTCTGGGTTACTGAAGGATTCCCTGACCTCATCCTCTTCTACCAAGGGTGCATCTTCCTTGYTCTGGACTTTCCCCTGGTTTCTGGGGTCCCCTGCTCATTCAGCCCCAGATCCATATGTTCCCTCCTCTTTCTTTTGTCACCTGGATACTTAGAGAAGCCTTTCTTGTCTCTGACATCTTTGGCTGGATTCAATTCCAGTTGGGTTTGGGCTTTCCTATCTTCATCCCTGCATGCTGGGAGAGTGCCCCAATATTCGTGCCAGGTCCCTGTTCCCATCTTCCGTATGCCTCCTTTCTGCATTTGTGTTTGCCCAGGAGCTCCTGGTTCATCCATCTTGCCCTGCTTGCATTTTTTCCTGGCTTGGGATGCTTGTTAGGGTGGACTGTTCTTGCATTTGGGGAAGGTGATCCTTGAATATTTACCATCTTCTTTGCCCTGACTGTATTCCCTCGATTGAGGTCTGTAGATGCTTTTAGAATCAGACTCATTAAAGTTGAAAATTCCTCCAAGATCCTCAAGTCCAAACTTCAACCAAATMCCACCATTCCCAAAGGGTTTGCAGATGTTCCTGGTGGTGTCAGTGGTGCCCACAYTGGAACAGCAATGGCAGTAGTCAAAGAAGGGTTGGACAAGCCTCACAGTCCCACCACAACACCCCAATCCATGTCCTTGGCAAGCAGAAGTCTCTAAGTGAGGGGCAGGTGGGTGTCTGTGTCCCCAGCAGCAGGAAGAGATCCATTCCTGTCACTTGCTGCTTCCTCCTGGGGTTCGTGCATCATTTAGGATCAGGGCCCATGGATTCARGGTCAGGGCCCATGGATTYAGGGTCAGGGCCACGTGATCTGTTTGAAGGCCTACGTGGCTCCTGCCCAACCTTGAGGGTGGTGAACCCGTTTTGTAGGTGCGTTTAGGTGAGGAGGAGCCATGTTGSTGTCAGAAGGCACCATCTTCCACCCTTCCCCAAAGGCTGCACCATTATCCAAGAATGGGTGCTGCCTGTGTCTGCTGCAGCTGGAGCTTGGGGGTYTTCAGGCTCTTCTGTCCCTCAGAACATTGTCCATCTCCCATCTCAGGTGCCGTGCAGCACACTGGCCCGTCCCATAGCTCCTCCACACAGCTCCTCAGGCTGGGAATTTGGGTGGTATCAGAGGTGTTGGTGGACGGGAATGGAAATAACCTCATTTTGGTAAGGCAGGAAGTACAAAAAGGAGGTACAAAAAATCTTCAATTTATGGAGAGGTTCCTTGGCCAGTGAAAGTCCAAGAGGCTTGGGGTGCGCGTGGTGTGGGTGGGG